TTAATTTTCTCTTTTTCTGTTGCCTAACAGGTAATAACGTGTTTAACTAGAATAAGATCTTCTAAACATGGAAACTGATCAGATTATTTAAATGCAACATATGTTTCGGTTTAAATTGAATGTTTTTTTAAAATATTTTTATCCAGGTGTCTGTCTGGGTGTTGAGGTCCATCAGTCTCCTTCTGAGTTCATCACAAATGTTGGATCCAAAGTGGAGATTTTTTGCAGTCATGAAAAGACTGACTACAGGGTGATGCTCTGGTACCAGCAACAACCTGGAGAGACAGCTATGAAACTCATTGGGTATTTGTACTACAAAGATGACAAATATGAAGAACAATATAAAGATCATTTCAATATCACAGGAGATTTGAGTGTGAATACAGTAAAAAAAGGTTATCTGATTGTTCAAGTCGCACAACAAGAGCACAGTGCAGCGTACTACTGTGCAGCTAGCAAAGCACAATGATAAAAAGTCCCTCTGAACTGTACAAAAACTCTTTTGATAAAACACGCTCTGAAGCACCTGCTTTGGTGGTTGTCTAGTGGCTTAATCCATCCATAGAACAACATGCTAACACACCCATGTTTTATTCTTATCTATCTAGGCATGTTGTTCAGATATGTACTCTTTATATAACCAGGAATGAAGTCCAAATAATAAGTACAACTTTAAATCACAAAAGTAGTAAAAGCAGACATGCCTCTACACGCCTCATGAAAATTTTCTGCCAAGATTTGAAAAGACCTCTTCATCTCAGCACACATGTACATGCATTAATGCCATGAAGTACTTAAGGATCCTTAAAGGTGGCGCAGTATAAATACCCACAGTTTGAGGTTATTACTATTCAGGTAAAGAAGAATTTTATCTAGTTTTATCTATTTTTTATCTATCAGCCAGCAAAAAAACAAAAAAAAAAAATTGAGAACGGGGCTCTAACTGAATGCAGAATGACAGTGGTGTGTATTTCTGTGCTGTCAGCAAACTCAGTAATGTGATAAGTAGGAGAAGCTGTACAAAAACTGCTCAACAATTAATCTGATATTAGAGATGACTTGACTTTTATGTCCTCCAGTAGGTGGCGATGAAGCTCAAGAAATACTGACATCAAAACCTTTAGCAGCTGGTTTCAAGAGGAGGGCGTCAATAAAAGTG